TTGGTGATCTCAGCAGCTCCCATGGATTTAATTACCATCTCTAAGCTGATGATTCTCAAATCTACCTTCCCTGTCCCAGTTTCTCCACTGACCTCTCCAATCTCAGATCTCCAATTGCCTTTCAAACGCTTCAAACTGGATGGTCAGTAGACATCTGAAGCTCAATATTTCCAAAGTAGAACTCATAATCTTTCCCCTAAATCCTCCCCCTCCCCTAGCTTCCCTGTTATTGACAAAGGCATCCCCATCCTATGAGTCTCTCAGGCTCTCAGTCTCAAAATCTGGGAGTCTTCCTGGACTCTGTCTGACACCCCATATCAAAGCTGTGGGCAAGGTCTTTCAATTTTATCTCTGCAGCATATCCCTAATCTGCACCCTTCTCTCTTCTGACACTGCCCCCATGCACTTGGTGCAGGCCCTCATTCCCTCACACCTGGATTAGAAGCAATAGCTTCTAGGGATCTGCCTGCTTCACGATTCTTCTTGCTCCAGTTCATCCTCCAAGCTCTACAAGCAAAGCAGAATTGAAGTAGCTCAAAAAAGTGAGAGATGAAAAAATTTAGAGAATCCACTCCAAATGTTCACATGGACTATTTGTGCCTGACCTGTGGTAGAACATTCCAAGCTCATGTTGGTCTGATCAGCCACAGTTGGACACATTGTACCTTGACTCTAGCATAGTGATGCCATTTTGGTCCTCCTTGAGAACGAAGGACACCAACCAACCTTTCAGACACAAAAGTGATTTTCCAAAAGTGCAGCTCTGAGCACCTCCGCCACCCACTCAGTAAATTCGAGTGGCTTTCTATCACCTCTAGAATCAACTACAAAACACTGTTTAGTGTTCAAAGTCCTTTATTACTCAGCACCCCCCTCCTTTCCCAATCTTTGTAAACCTTATTTCCCTCTTTGTGCTCTTTGATCCAGTAACACCAGCCTCCTTCCTAGCTGATCCATGAACAAAACATTCCATATCTCATCTCTGGGCATTTTCTCTGGTTGTCCCCCCAGCCCTGGAATGCTCTTCCTCCTCCACTTCGACTACTAACCTTTCGGCCTTCCTTTAACTTTCAAGTAAAACCCCACCTTCTACAGGAAGTCTTTCCCAACCCCTCTTAATTGCAGTGCTTTCCCTAATTATTTTTTTTCCTGTATATAGCTTGCTTTGTATAGATTTGTTTGCACACTGTCTCCCCCATTAGATTGTAAGCTCTTTGAGGGAAGGAACTGTGTTCTGCCTCAATTTGTATCCCCAGCACTTAGCACAGTGTCTGACATATAGTAGGCATTTAATAAATGCATATCGGTTGATTTGTTAAAGATCCACTGTGACGATCAGGAGATGATGGAGAACAGGAAAAGCAGAAAGAAGAATCTGGGGTAAAAAAAAATGGCTTTGCAGATAGCAGGTAGAAGAGGTGTGATTTGGTATCAGGACATTTGAAAAAGGTGATATGGCCTGCCCTTTCCTTATGAGTTGCTCAGTTAAGATGGCGCCAAGAAAGTGACAGAATCTTCAGCTCCTGGAAGAAAAGCATGCCGTTCAGAAATAAGGAGGTGATTTTGCACCATGCTGTGCCTTGATTTGACCACTTTGGGAGCATCGTCTTGGGTTCTGGGCCCTGTACAGTCCATTGATGTTGGTGTGCTTGCTGCTTCTAACGTACAACCCTTAGTCATCCGTCTCCAGCCTTTACTCTCACTCTTTCCCAGCCTTAGAACACTCCCCCTCCTCACACCTGACTCTTGGAACCTCTAGAACCACTGTCTACACGAAACCTTTGTAGATCCCACTCATGCCAGGGTCTCACTCCAGGTAACTCTATTTCTCTATGTATTTATTCTCTCTATGCTTCCGTACATCCATGGTGTCTCCCATCAGGGTGGATTGGCTCCCTTTGGCCTTTGAATCCCCAGCACTTAGTCCAGGGCCTGGTACATGGTAGCATCTTTATAAGTCCCTGTGGACTGATAAATTGAATTATCCAGAGGAGCACATTCTGGTAGTGAAGGTCCTGATGGCCATTCCATATGATGATTAGTTGAAAGAAGAAAGAGAGTATGTTTAAGCTGGGAACAGGAGACTTGGGGGAGGGGAAAGGAGTGTGTGTGAATACAAGAGCTGCCTATAAGGTTTTGAAAGGTTCTCAATGGAATGTGTGATTGGACTTGTTCTGTTTGGCCTCAGAGGTTAGACCCAGGAGCAAGGGAATGAAAATGGCAGAAAGAATAGACTTGATTCAGAAGAAAAGAGAATAATTAGAATCATACCAAAGGGAATGGGCTTTCCGAGGCTGGAGATTGCCACTCAGAGACTGGCCGACCATCTCTCCTGGGCTCTCTCGTCACAATTCTTTGGGGCTTTGGGCAGTATTTGACAACCATCAAGCATCCCCACAACTCCCAGATGTTAGCATCTCTGAATAACAGCGGATGGCATTTGTGCATTACTTTAAGGTTTTCCAAGAACCTTACAGGCTTCCCTTCTCCCCGACATGTAAAACACCCATTTTTTAGTTCATCTTCCTACTTCCTGTGGCTTTTTGGGTGCATCATATCAGAGAACAGATCCCGTTCAATGTGAACTACCTTATTTAATAATGTCTTCATCATGATACATACTGAGCAAAAGAAACAGAGATATCATTCTTTAGGAATTACATGGATGACATGACCCGAGATGGAAAAGCCTTTCCAGTAGTCATCTGTTGTAGCTCCCTGACTTCAAATGGAAGGATTTCTCATCTTACAGGTGGGGTAATTGAGATGGAGGGAGGGGAGGGGGGCCTACTTAAGATCACACATGAAAGTAGGGGGAGACCCTGATGGCTGGAACTCGGGTCTCCTGACTTCCAGGCTTATACTCTTTGCCACCACCCTCTAACCAGAGCTGGCCCCAGTTCTGTCCTTTCCCTCTCTTCACCCTCTCTTTGCGATCTCATCAAATGGGTGTTCAATGATCACGTCTATGTGGACAACTCCTAGAGCTAGATGCTGAGCTGTCTGTCATCACTTTCCTGAGCTCCAGTCAGCATCACCACCTCTCTGTTAGATGTCTCATGGGACTCTGAAAGATGGCTCATAGCTGGCTCCAACTCAGCACATCCAAAACAGAGCGTCGTATCTCCCCACCTTCCTCAGTCATGTCCAAGTTCATTTCCCTCCTTCTGTTGAGGGTGCCCCCTTTCCAGGCACCCAAGTGTGACTTGTCCTCATCCCTCCCATCCCCTTAGCCTCCATCTCATCAGTTCTACTTCCGTCACATCTCTTATACTCATCACCTTCTCTGCTCATATGACCAGCACCCTCAGCACCTCTCGCCTCAATTACTGCCATACTTTCATTGGTTTTCCAGTGTCCAGTCTCCTCACTCTTCAGTCTGCCCTCTGTCTGTGTAACAGCTGAAATAATTTCCTTAAAACCCAAGTCTGACTATGTCACTCCCCTGTCCATGGCTCTCTCTGTGCTTTAGGATAACACAGCAGCTCCTCAGGTAGTCATCTCAAGCCTGGCTCCAACCGATCTTTCTAGGCTCGCTCTGTATCATTACCTTTTAGGGCTCTACATTACAGCCAGACTGGACTGCCTGCATCCTTGCCTTGGCTGGACTGTTCATCAGCCTTCAATGGACTCTTTCCTGATCAGTACCATCTAGAATCCAGAGCAACCTTCAGTGGGAAGCATTCTGTGTCCCTTTCAGTGGTCATGTGCCCTCGCCTTCCTCCTCAAATACAAACATCACACACACAAATTATATATATATATAAAATGTATTTCTATGTGTGTATCTGTTTATCTGTGTCTCTCCTCTAGGCCCCCTTTTCTCCTGTGACAGTGCCACCACCCTGGGGCAGGCATCATCACCTCCTTCCTAGACTACTTTCATAGCCTGCTGAAGGCTCTGTCTGCCCGAGCTACCAAGGTCATTTCTTACCAAATGCCACTGGTTCCCTACTGTCTCTAGAATCAAATAGAAAATCCTGTTTGGCTTTTAAAGCCCCCCACTACCAGGCCTGTTCATCCCCACCAGCCTGCTTATTCCTTCTGCCCCCGCCGACCCTTCAGTCCAGGGATGTGGCCTCCTCCACACTCCTCACACACATCCCTTACTTCATCTCTGCTCTCTGTGCCTTTTCCCTGGCTGCACCAGAGCATCCTCTCTCCTCATCTCACAAAGTGCCCAGAACATCCTCCCTCCCCATCTCAATGCTTGAGCTTCCTAGGCTTAGCTCAAATTTCACCTTCTGCAAAAAACCTGTCTTGAGTCCTCCCACCCTCTGCTCAGTGCTCTCTCTGTTGTTTGCCTTCCCATTATGTTGTATAGATCTCGCTTAAGCACACTTGTTTACTTATCATATCCCCCATTAAACTCAGCTCCTTGAAGGCAGGACCCAGTTCTTGCCTTTCTCAGTTTCTCCAGGGTTGGCACATCCTAAGTGCTGATTCTGCGCTATGGAGTGCTGTTATCTCCACCTAGTGAACTCTGCAGCCTGAAGGTAGAAAGTGGCTTCTGTTTTGCCACCATAGGGTCAGGAAGGAGTAAGGACTTTCAAAATGGTTGTTAGACTGAATTTAAGGAAAGAGGCCAAGGAAATCAGGCACAGAGGACTGGAGCCCTCTTCTCCTTGGAGCACCGGGGACAAGGACAGCTGCCAGCAGCTTCAGGGGCAGGAGCTGGAGCATTTGTCTTTGAAAGCCTTCAAAGGGAGCAGGGCTCCATGGGAGGGGACGCCTTCAAGATCACCAGATGTTTCCTGTCATTCCTGATCATCTCCACTTAGCAGATCTTTCCCCTATCACCTGTCTGGAGCCCTGTTATTTGCATATTTTGTCTTCTCCCCTGTTAGTCTGTGAGCTCCTCGAAGGCAGGGGCCGCCTTCTCCCATTTCATGTATCCCCAGCACTGAGAATGTTTCCTGAATACAGTAGGTACCTAGAAATGCTTGCTAATTTGATGTATAAATAGTAATAAGCTTTTTTTCTTTACTGATGAGAATTACCTGGTAAATGAGGAAAGAAAGCAGCTGTTTGCCTATCGCTTTCAACCAGTCTACGTGGTCACACAGGACTGGCTCCATTAGCGTTTCTATGAAGAAGAGTCTCATCAGAGAAAGTCTTGTCAGCAGAACATTGTCCTGCTTTGGGTTGGGCCTGGGCTGGGGTAGGGGGAAGGAGTTAGCTGGTAAAAAGGAGAACATCTGTTCTGGCAAACCGAGTTGTTGGTCTGGGGCTTCTCTTTGCCGCCCCCACTAGGGGAGCTGCTCTCTGCTCACGAGAAGGGAAGGTCCCTTGGTCAAAGTCTGCCTAACCCAAATGTAAGCAGAAGTTAAGAATGCCCGACAGGCACTAGGCAGCCCTGCTTACCGTTATATTCACCTGTCCTCTGTGGATGTTGATGCATCTAGGGGGTTGGTGGGAGGCCTGAGAGGGGTGCTTAGCCTAGTTGGCAGCCTCGGTGTTTTCTCTAAGTTACAGGGTGCCTTGTGAGGATGGCCGCCCTATCCAATGTTGCACAGATCCTGCTAAAGAGTCAGGCATAAAGACCCTTTGGGATGTCTTGCTTACAGGTGGTGATTTAAATTAGAGGTGTCAAGACATGTCCACCAAACCAGATTGAAGTGTAATTGGGAAATATTTAACAAAATCAGTAAAATATGATAAAACAGATAATGTTAATAGGTGGTTTTCTAAGTTGAAATACACTGGCAGGGATGATCATGCATGGTTTAGAGGACCTTGTTTCTATTTTGAGTTTCACACTACTGACTTCACTGAGACTGGCCTATCCTGATCAGTCTCAGGGATAAGCCCCCAATGTGATTTCTTCTCCCCTTCACTCTCAAATGCTGTGTGATGCACATATACTGCACTGCTTGGGGTGGGATATTGCATGAACAGTGACCACTGGGCTCCAAGTCTATGTCTGGTCAGATACAGCCTGTTGCCCACAGAGAATTTCATCTTGAAGAATTAAGACAAGCATCTAAACTATTAAAGAAAAAGTGATTTCTTTTTTTGAGGGGGAAGAGGAAGGGAAGGAGAGGTTGAATGATTTGGATATTGACTCAATTTGAAATTTGCTTCTTCTATACAATTTAATTATCTGAGTATTTATTGAGTGCCCATCCTTGTACTAGGTACTCTTGGGGATGCATGGAGTAGGAGTGGGCCCTGCCTGAAAGGATGTCACAATCTGATTGAAGAAATGAGCTGAACCCGTGACAAGCACCTGGAAATACCAGCTCCTCTGATGTGTAAATACCCAGACCAAAAATCTTTTCATTCTTGGGCTCTCACCCTGACAGCTCCAGCATGGAAGCTGTGCAGAGGCTTGGGCCCTAACCGCTTTCATTCCAGGGCTTCCTTTCCCTCAGTCACTGTTCCCTACCTTGGCCCTGACAGAGATCAACCTATTCAGGCATCTCTGCCTCTAGGAGTGTATTAACACTCTGGAGAATCACTTCCTCTTTGTGGTGGGCCTCAGTCTTTCTTTTTCATCAGTATAAGAAGATTACTAAAGGCCCTTTGGACCTTACCATTCTATGCTGCTATGATTCAATAATTGTGCAAGGAACAGTAACAGAGCTGTAGAAACACCCATTTAACTGGTGAGCCGGGGTCTCCTATTATCTGGGGGGAAGCAAGCCAAGATTTCTACTTGGCTTTTACTTAAGGGCTTAGCACCTGCCTGAGAGAGGCTTCTGGAAGAATGGCTAGTGAGCCAGGGTGCATAAGTAATCAGAGGAAGAGTCTGTGAGCTTCTGCACTAGTGGAGGGAGGCAGGTCTCCCAGGGCAGTAGGCAGGCCCACCCTTGGGTTGCCTGTTCCTGGGCTTCTTAGGAGAAAGCCTTGGCCTGTTTGATGCTGGACATTAAGGGCTTCTGCTGGGACTGTCCATATCACAGTAGACACTGCTCCCCTAGCACCACATCTCCCGGGGGTGTATCCAAGGCTCACTTGAACTCCAGTTCCTTGGGAAGAGGACCCCATTGGAATGTGTCTTCCCTGTGCCCCCAAGGTCCAAGCAGTTTGGGCTCCTTCTCACAAAGAAATAAGAATCCTTCCTAAGCTCACGTTTTGCCAATGGAGAATCCTTCCTCTCCAGAGACTCCATCACAGGCAGGCTCACGAGAAGTTTGGGGAGGCCTGGCATGGCTGTATATAGCTGCCTTTGTCTACACCCCGCCCCCTCCCCCTCTTCTCTCTCTTTCTCACTTCCTTCCTTTTTCCTCTCCTCCCCCTCCCTTTTCACAGCTAGCCAAGGCTAAGGCCATAACCAGGCCAGGTAGCTGCTGCTTCCTAGCCTTGGAGCCTGCCTGCTGAGGACACTCACGTTCTTCTTCTTTGAGATGCTCTCTTGACTCATCTCCTAAAGGCTGCTGATGATTTGTTTAAGTAGATGTTTGCTTCTGCCCCCACCCATTGTATATTTCTTCTCCAGCTTGATGGTATTTGGAATGCTAAGTCTGTGACATCGTGCAGGACTCCATGGCAACAAACTGCCTGTGGATGGCCCTGCATTTCCAAGTGTCTGGGCTGGGCTGTTTGGAGCAAGAGCTTTTCATCAAATTTAAGTCTATCAGTGTATGTCACAAGGATGACCAGGGAAATCCCAGTACCCTTTGAGGCTGAAGGCCTGAGGAGATGGGAAGTGCTCTCTCTCCATCCAGCAGGTCCGGCATTCCCCTGGTTACTCCCTTCATACAGAAACAATTCAATTCAATTTGAAAGACTTTTTCATTATTATTATTAAACACCTACTAGGTTCAAGGTTCTGAGGATACAGTGAGGGAGCCATGACCAAAGCCCCGCCTTCGAGAAGATTACAATGCCTTGAGGGCCGTAAGGGCTCCCATAGCTACAGCACAAGAGAGAGATTGAGATGGGTGCAAAGGAGAGGCCTGGGCGGAGGGAGGCCAGGGAGACCTAAGGAAGAGGAGGCCCTTTTACCTGGGGTGGTCACAGGGGGTGGGTGGGGGCTTCTCAGAGGAGCTGGCCTTGGGTCAGTCTTTGTAGAAGAGGGAGATGATGGGAGCCTTTCCAAGCATGGGATGAGATCTCATCAGAGGCACAGAAAGCAGAGACAAGAAAATGAGGCAAGGGGGAAGAGTGGGCTCCCCTTTGCTGAAAGCATCCAATCAGGGGCTGGATGGCTTTGCTGAGAGGATTCTTAACCAGTGCAGGTGGGACTAGGAGGTCTCTGGGGTTCCTTCTGTCTCTGAGCTCTCATGGTCGGAAAAGGTAGCTCAAAGCCAGCTTGCAAAGGGCTCTGAGGGCTGTTATGCGCTACAGTGTATACAGTCTTGTCACTGAAGTCAGGAGGACCTGAGCTCAAATCCGGCCTCAGACACTTCCTAGCTGTGTGGCCCTGGGCAAGTCCCTTTACCCTGTTTGCCTCAGTTTCCTCATCTGTAAAATGAGCTGGAGGAGGAAATGGCAAACTGCTCCAGTGTCTCTACCAAGAAAACCCCAAGTGGGGTCATGGAGAGTCAGACACAACTGAAATGATTCAACAAAAACAAAGGGTTTTGGATTTTGGAGTCATAAATGTGTGATTTGTGGGGTGCCACATAATGATTTGAGGAGTGAAATAGCATGTGTCACTTCAAGAAGCCCTCCCCAATTTCCTTGGTTCTCATTCCCACCACCCCCTCTGCCATGTATTTTTTATATTTTTGTAATATAAATTTATTTATTTTTAGTTTTCAATATTCACTTCCACAAGTTTTTGAGTTCCAAATTTCTCACCCCCCCCCCACCCCAAGATGGCATGCATTCTGAATACCCCTTCCCCTGGTCTGCCTTCTCTTCTATCTCTCCCCCCTCCTTTCTCTTATCCCCTTCCCCTTCTATTTTCCGGTAGAGCAGGATAGACTTCTGTACCCCATTTCCTGTATTTCTTATTTCCCAGTAGCATGTGAAAATATATTTTTTAAAACATGTGTTTTTAAAATTTTGAGTTCCAAATTTTCTCCCTTCCTCCCTCCCCACCCACCCTCATTGAAAAGGCAAGCAACTCAATATAGGTTATACATGTGTAGTTATGCAAAACACTTCCATAGTAGTCATGTTGTGAAAAACAAACTCTATTTCCCTTAATTCTATCCTGCCCTCCCATTTATTCTATTCTTTCTTTTGACCCTGTCCCTCCTCAGAAGTATTTCTTCTGATTACCCCTTTCCCAATCTGCCCTCCTCTCTATCACCCCCTGCTCTCTTGTCCCCTTCTCCCCCTATTTTTGTAGGGTAAGACAGATTTCCATACCCAATTGAATGTGTATGTTATTCTCTCCTTAAGCCAAATCCTATGAGAATAAGATTCCTCATTCCCTCTCACCTTCCCCTGTTTAAGAGACTTTTCTTTTCTGTTTTTTTGTGAGATAATTTACCCCATTCTACCTCTCCCTTTCTTCTTCTCCAGTATATCCTCTCTCATCCCTTAATTTTATTCTCCAGATATGACCCCTTAATCTTCAACTCACCCTGTGCCTCTATCTAATCTATCTATACACATACATATAATTTTTTCCTCCAACTACCCTAATACTGACAAAGGTCTCATGAGTTATAAATATCATCTTTCCATGCAGAAATATAAACAGTTCAATCTTAATAAGTCTCTTATGATTTCTCTTTCCTGTTTACCTCTTCATGTTCCACTGGAGTCCTGTATTTGAAAGTCAAATTTTCTATTCAGCTCTGGTCTTTTCATCAAGAATGCTTGAAAGTCCTCTATTTCACTGAATGACCATTTTTTCCCCTGAAGGATTATACTCAGTTTTGCTGGGTAGGTGATTCTTGGTTGTAATCCTATCTCCTTTGCCCTCTGGAATATTATATTCCATGCCCTGCGTCCTTTAATGTAGAAGCTGCTAAATCTTGTGTTATCCTGATTGTGTTTCCACAGTACTTGAATGTTTCCTTCTGGCAGCTTGTAATATTTTCTCCTTGACCTGGGAACTCTGGAATTTGGCTATATTCCTAGGAGTTTTCCTTTGGGGATCTCTTTCAGGAGGAGATCTGTGGATTCTTTCAATTTCTATTTTGCCCTCTGGTTCTATATATCAGGGCAGTTTTCCTTGATAATTTCTTGAAAGATGATGTCTAGGCTCTTTTTTTGATCATGGCTTTCAGATAGTCCAATAATTTTTAAATTCTCTCTCCTGGATCTATTTTCCAGGTCAGTTGTTTTTCCAATGAGATATTTCACATTGTTTTCTAATTTTTCATTCTTTTGGATTTGTTCAGTGTCTGATTTCTCATAAAGTCACTATTCCAATTGCTCTATTCTAATTTTTAAGGAAGTATTTTCTTCAGTAATCTTTTGGACTTCCTTTTCCATTTGGCCAATTTTTCTTTTTAGGGCATTCTTCTCCTCATTGGCTTTTTGGACCTCTTTTGCCATTTGGGTTAGGCTGTTTTTTAAGGTGTTATTTTCTTCAGTATTTTTTTGGGTCTCCTTTAGCAAGCTGTTGACTTGTTTTTCATGATTTTCTTGCAGTTTTTCCTCTACTTCCCTTACTTGCTTCTCAAAATCCCTTTTGAGCTCTTCCAAGGCCTGGGACTGATTCATATTTTTCTTGGAGGCTTTGGATGTAGGAGCTTTGACTTTGTTGTGTCTTCTTCTGGTTGTATATTTTGACCTTCTTTTTCACCAAAGTGAGATAATATAGTCTGACTCTTTTTGCGCTGCTTGCTCATGATCCTGGACAATTACTTGAGTTTTAAACTCTTTGTTAAGATACAAATCTGCTTCCAATGTGGAGAATGTACTGTCCCAAGATTTGGGGGTTTGTAGCTGTTTTCAGAGATACTTGTAGGGACCTGTAAATTTTCAGTTCTTCCAAGGTGGTATGATAAGGGGCAGGTGTTTACTCCTTTCCTGGCCTGTGACCAAGTATTCCTTTCTGTCCTGTAACTGTGAGGAGGGGTTTCTCACAGCCACTACAAGCTCCACCAAGCCAGCACTCCTCTCACCCAGCACCCCCCCAGAACTGTGACCCAGATCCAAACACGGGCAAAGCAAGAGATTCCTGCCTCAGCACTGGCAAAGAGATCCCTGCAGTCCCTCTCTGATCAGCCACTGGATTCCCCCTCAGTCTGTGGGCCGGAAGCTCGGGAAGCAGCTGCCCCCCAGGGCCATGCTCTTGGGGAATGGAGCTGAAACCCCGCCTTCCTCTCTGACCACTGAGAAACAGACTTTTCCCACTGACCTTCTAAGTTTTTTTGGCATTTGTGGATTGAGGAGTCTGGAAACCTCCACAGCTGCCCGAGATTCATTCCTCTGTGGCCTGCCCCAGGTTCTCTGCAGCCTAAGTGCCCACGCGGTGCTGCGCTGCGCTCCCAGTCCGGCGCGATACACCTTTCTGATCAATCATCCAGGTTGTCTTGGGCTGGCAATTTGTTTCACTCTGTCTTTTTGTGGGTTCTGCTGCTTCAGAATTTGTTTAGAGCCATTTCTTATGAGTATTTGGAGGGATTTGGGGGAGAGCTCAAGCAAGTCACTGCTTTCCCTCTGCCATCTTGGCTCCACCCCTCTGCCATGTATCTTTATAAACATCTCCTGAATTGACTTACCTGTAGAAGGTCAGCTCCTTGAGGTAAGGAGTTAGCCCTTTTGTCTTTGTATCCATAGGGCATGGCACACAGTAGGCGATTAGTATATGCTTAATAGTTGGTTTTGAGTCTGACCAGGCTCCAACTGGAATCCCAGAATCACAGATTGGAGGGCATTTTAGAGGCCTGGTCCGAGCATCTCCATGATGCCCCAAAGTGGCCCCTTTTGGACAGCTCTCCATGTTGGGAAATGTTCCCCAACAATCTGTCTCTCTGTGACTTCCACCCAAGTTCTGTCATCCGGAGGGAAGCAGGAGAAGCCTGATCCCTCTCCCACTGGAGAAACTCCTTGAAATAGGAGCAGATTCCATCCCCTCAGCCTATCTTCACTTCCCCTGGCTCAGCACCCTTTCCTTCCAGGCTTCACTTCCGGATTTGTGGACAGGCCTCTTCTTCTTTGGATCTCCCTGGTCTCTGTCCACCCAGATCTCTCTTTTTCACCCATCTCACCTTCTCTCTTGTGCTGTAGCTATGGGAGCCCTTACCCTGCCCTCCATGCATTGTAATCTTCTTGAAGGCTGGGCTTGTGTCACAGCTCCCTCGCTGTATCCTCAGGATTAAGCACCACACGACCTCGCCCTTAGTAGGTGCTTAATAACTCCAATCCACTTCTATGAGGGACTGTGGTGTCACAGTGGATGGAATGCCATGGAAATGGATGGGTTCGAATCCAGCCTCTGACATGATCCCAGAAAAATCACTGATCTTCTTCGAGACTCAGTTTCATCCATAAAATAGAGATCATTGTACTGTGTTTGGAGTCTCCAAATGCCTTTGAAAATTTAAAGCCCTAAACAGGTGTATGAGAAGAGTGAAGTGCAGTCATCTGGTTTCA